ATATATAGCAATGATTAAGAATTTCGTGTTCAATTAATTGAATTTTTACTTAACCGATTAATTTCGATTATAAACGCACATACAGATCCAACTACGTTGGCCTATACACATACAGCACAGCAATGAAGTAATAAAATGAACTAGGATCACACTAATCCAGCACGTTATTAATCTCATGTGCCCCACTCAATATGACCGCCGCATGAGTGGGGCAACTCAGACTAATAATGTGCTGGATTAGTGTGATCCTAGTTCATTTTATTACTTCATTGCTGTGCTGTATGCCTTGGCTGGCGCTCGTGTAGAAAGTTTCTTGGGCAAACTCACCGGCCCAAGTGGCTCCGTCGGCTAACAAGGGGGGAGGAGTCATGTGACGTCACGGACATCGACGTAACCGGACTCCTCCACCCTTCCCATCGTTAGCCGACGGAGCCACTTGGGGAAGGGGGGAGGAGTCCGGTGACGTCACCGGATCGCCGACGGGACTCCCGGAAGCCGGCGGAGAGGTGAGTGTTTTCATTAGCGATCAAAATAATTTTAAAAATCAAAAAGTTTACGATTAATCGAGAAATTAATCTTTAATGTCCACGGCCCTAATTAGATAGATATATATATCAAAAGGTCAATTAGGAAGATGACATAGTAAAGTATCTTTTTTTTGGAGCCCATTGAGGGACACAAAGTTAATTGGATAATAACACAACTGTAGGCCAGCAAAGGACAATCCTTGCTAGCTATAAGCATGCCTTAGTTCTGTAGGCAATCAGAACTAAAAGCATGATCTTGGGCATCAAGAATATTTTATAGCAAATACAAAAATCCTGTTAAACTTGCTGTGTCCCTAATGGATGAGAAAGTAAACGGTGCAGACATTAAATAAAAAAAAATAAAAAAGCGAGGAGTGGGCAACACAGCAAACAGGGCCACAATGAACAGAAAAAAAAAAAAAATCAGAGCTGTTTAAGAACCTTACACTCAAAGGTGGACCAGGTGGAAGCCTTTAAAATCTGGGAAACAGAGGCCAGATACCAAACAGCTCAATTTTGATAGAAACCTGAACCTTAAGACCATAAGCATGGTCTTTGAGAAATGGTGGAACAAAAAGCTGGTGCACCTTCACAAAGACCATCCGGAATGACGCTGAGTCAGTCTTCCTAAAGGAAGCTGTGGCTGAGAGAAACGCTTTCCCAGCCTGAACTCCATCCATTGAGGAAAATCTTCTGATGAACTGGAGCCAGACAGAGGAACAAATTAACAATGTTCTGGTTGAGGTGAAAGGTTGAAACTACGTAAAAGGAAGTTCAAGGCCTCAACAAATTGTGCAATACCAGAAAGGGTTCTTTGCAAGATATAACCACCAGCTCAGACCCACACCTTGCAGAGGTGAGTGTGACCAGAAAAACACTAAGGGGTTAAGAGTAGAGAGAGGAATATCGCTGATGGTCTCAAAGGGCTTTTTTTTTTTACAAATATTGATGGAACCAAAATGCAAAGCCCTTGGAGGCAAAAGACATGAACATGGGGAGTCACCTGGAACAAAAGGTATTCA